AATAATAAACATTTAACATATTAATATATTAAAAAATTTTCTATGAAATATTCATTAATATATTAAAATTTATATATATATAATATAATTTTATATTTAATGTATTAATATTATGCTTCAATATAATAATTATAATTTTAATTTTTTCATGAGAATTATTTTTATTATTTTTTAAAATTTTACTACTTATTTTTATTTAAATGTGATATTTTAATATTTCATACTTTTAAAAAATTAATATTTAATAGATAAATAAGTAAAATAAAAATTAAATAAAATAAAAATAAATAATTTCTGCTATTATTTCTAATATCATAATGATGATTTTAATGTTAACTACATACATGAACAAAATTTGGGTCATTAGGGATTAAAGCTCCCTACCATTCTCATAACAAATATTTCCTAAAGCCCTGGAAGTCTGTATTAATATATCAATGCATTCTTCATTTAACAGATCTAATAATGCATTTATTAAATCTGTACTAGTGCATTTTTCTCTTCCTTTTTCACTTTTTGCAATTTCAGCAATTGCTTTGGCAGTTTTTGCAATAATTTCTTTTGATTCGTGATGTAATAAAGTTAAAAAAACATCATCTATTATGCATTCTGTAGTTTCTAAAAATAAACAAAATTCATTTATTATAGAAAACATAAATAAAGTAATATATTAATATTTTAATATTTCTCATTATTATTTATATTAATAATTTAAAATAATATTAAAAAAACATTAAAATCAATACAAATTCTTATATTATATTATTTTTTTAAATATAATAATTTAAATCTTAAATCAAATAAAAAAAATATTTAATACCTCCAAAAGATGTTTTGCTAACATCAACGATAGAATCTAATACGTGGATGATATCTTCAATTTCTTTTTCAGATTTTATAATAAATCGCAGTTCTTCAATTAATTTATCGATATTGTTTTTTAATGTGCCTAAAAAAATTATGTAAACAACTAGATAATTTATAAATATATAAATGAACATATAAACATTACTATGATATAAAAAAAATATATATATGTATATATATATATAAGAAGCTTTGAATTTTTACATAAAAATTTTATTTAACACATATTATAAAAATAATATATAAAAAGATTAATTTTTTTATAAATTTAATTTATAAAACTTTTTTTATATATATTATAATTCTTATATTATAGAATTATAATACTCATATTCTCAGAATTATTAAAATTGTAGATAATAAATAAAATCTATTTAAAAATAATTTCATTTAAGAATTTAGAATTATATGAATTTTAATATATATTTAAGAATAGATTTGATACATATTTTCATAAATTTTTTTGTATCATTTGATTTTTTTTTGTAAATTAAAATTATAATATCATTTCTTAAATATATTTCACACAAATTTTATATTTCTTAAATATTTTTAATAAAGAATATATTAAAAAAGCAAATCAAATAAATTAATATATTAAAATATATAATATTTTTAACAAAAATTATCACTAAAAATTAATCTAAATTCATAATTATTAAATAAATTTATTATAGTACCTTCCATTATCTTTTTTATTTTAATTTCCAACTTTATACAAATGGAACTTTCTTTCAAAATTATAGTAACAAAATTTACTTAAAGTGAAAGAAACATCATTATTAAAAAAATTTGCCATAAATTACAAATCATTAGATAAGAAAGTTTTCTTTAACAAAATAACTATATTATATTATAATAAGAAACTTACGATATTCAATAATTACATAAAAGAAAATAATAAGTCTCAAATTATATAAATCAAGATTTATATTAATTTAAATAAATTGTATTTTAATGTTATTGTTATTTAATTTCTATTGTTATATATTTAATGGAAGAAAGGGAATATTCGATATAGGTTGGTACCATGAAACTCTGAACTTTGCTTGATGAAAATTAAACAAATTTTATTTGATATAATTATTTTATTCTATGCTAGTTTGTGAGATTAATCGTTTCAAGTACGTTTCAAATATAAAAAAATATTTTAATTTGCAAAAATTTCTTTTTTCTTAAAATTTCCAATTTTTTTCTTAAATTTAAAATCCTATTTTTGCAATTCTGTTTAATGGCAACATGTTTTATTTTATTAGCAAAGAACATTAATTGGTTGCAGAATAAAAAATGCACGAATTCAGAAAAATTAGTGTATGCTCTTAATAAAATTTATAATCTATTTATAATAGTGGGCAGAAACTAAGGTTATATATTTTTTTCATTAATAATAATATTTTAAGGATTAAATTTGATTTATTGAACTTATAATTTATTGCAATAGCAAGAATTAAGTTCAAATTTTTTCAATGATTAAGATTTGATTTTAAATTTTTTTGAAATTTTGTTTTAAATTTATTGAATTTTAATTTTCTTTTTGTTAATCTCATTCGCGTTATATTCAGAAAAATATATTTTTTTTTGTTTTATGTTCGCATAGGCAATTTGAATTTTATTTTTAATTTATATAACAATATTGTTAACTTTAACCTCTTAAGTATATGACGAAATATTTCGTTGTGTCAATAAAATATAATTCGCTATAACTTTTAAAATATATTCTATATTGGAAGATACAAAATATAGAGATATAAAATTATGTAACTTTATGAAATTATGTTATTTTCGAGAATAAAATATATATATTAATTATATATTCTAATTAATATTATTATAAAGACTATATGTTATATTATTTTAAAATATTTTAAAGTATTTTATATTCAAACAATCTTATTTATATAATTATTATTGTATAATTTGTATAATTATTATTGTATTATTCATTTTATTTTTAATAATATTTTCAATATTAATTCAATAACAATGATTTATTTTTTTGACATAATAATACTTGTATATTGCTTATTATAGATATGACAAAATATTATTATGGATATTACATATATTTCGTCATAACTGCTATGGATTTGACGATATATATTTCGTTATTAAACAAAAATAATTATCCATCCAAATATTCATTCTATAAATATTCTTCATTGAATTATTTTCATTTAAAAGCAATGGTTGAATTTGAAAGTTTAAATTTAAAAATTTTTTTTAATATGTTTTATAGGATGCAAATTTAAAAATAATTTTAATTTTTAGAATTCAATAATTTAAAAATTATTTACAAAGTTAATTTTAGAGATTTTTACTAATTATATAACATCATTAGGTAAAATCATAGGTTTAATATATTTAGAAAATAGAAACACGTGCCAAATTCAAATTCCTTAAATTTAAAGAATTCCATAAAAAATATATAGGATGAATTATGTAACTAACAGGTCATAACTTTGTTTCCTTAAAGATAAAAAAAAATAAATAACTTAGTAAGATTTATGTTTAGGTATTATTTTTTTAATATTTTTATATGATATATTTATTATATAATATTTTATAATATTTATACATATTATGATAATATTGCTCGTATTTATTTCTATTTAATTTATTAATGTTATTAATTTTAATTTTTTATTTCAATTTTTTATTGATATTATTTTATAATTATTGATATTTTTTTTATTGCTATTGTATGAACTTATAATATTGTAAATCAAATGTTGTAAATCTGACTTCAATCATTAATAATTAATATCATTAATAAATAAAAATGAAAAAAAATTTTTCGAAATCTGCTGAATGAATTAATAAATACAATACAAAGCATATATAAATCCGCTATGAGTGATTAAACAAAAAGAAAGTTAAAATCCGATAGACAATTCCCTGGAAGAATTTATAAAATTAATTTATTACGAACCGTATCTAATTAGTTGTTTTTTGATAAGACACGTACGATCTTTGAAAATATCCAAGCCTTTTATGACATATTTTTTATATCTTTATTCGCACATTTCAAGATTTTTAAGTAAATTAAGTAAGTAAGAAAATAGTAATAAATTTAATAATAATTTTTCTTAAGAATTATTATATTTTTTCAACATATTTTCGGATATGTGCACCGCCATTCTGCAACCGTTTTTTTTCATTTTCATAGGTTCCGTTCAAAGATGGATCAAGATTTATTGAAACAGATTTATCGAATACAGAGACAAAACAAAATTTTGAACAGGCAAAGTTAAGAATAAAGTTATTTTAATAAATTATTTGAATAATCTTATTATTGATATTATAAAGATAATAAGAAATCGCTCATAAGCGCTAATTAGTTGAGTTATGTGAAAAACCAATCAATTAATAGCTACAAATAGATGTTCTTCAAGCATTTTAAATAAAGTTATTACTTAAAGTAACTTTATTCGAAATTTTAACTTTTTTAGTTACTTTTTTAGCGAATTATTTATCAATCCACATTCTCAATTTTTTTTCGAATCTTAACTAAATCTATAATTTTATTTTGATTGTGTGTTAATGCTCATTTATTTTATGTCAATATACATAAGATTTTTCTTCAGCTGTATAATTTATTTTATAAATTTACTTATTTATTATATTGAATATCTAACAATTATGAAAAAGATTTATAAGAAAATATTGTATTTAAAATTTGTATTTTCAATAGTTGATAATATCGATATAATGAAAGAGGATTATTTGAGAAAATTAGCATTTTAATAAATAATAATATTTAATAATTAAATAATAATATATAATAATAAGAATAATTAATAAAAATATTTAAATAAGAAATAAAATAAATTATTTTAAGAGTTTTATCTTTATTAAGAGTTAAATAATGAAATAATAGTTTTAAAGAAAAAACATTTTCATATTCAAATAAACCATATAATATTTAGTTAAAGAAAATAATTTTATTTTAATATTATTTTAATTTATTATTTTAATCATTTAACAATTATGAATGAAATATTTCGCGATACAATATCGTTCGATGAAATGAAATATTTTGCAACATAATGTCATTTATATGATATTATGGATGAGGTATCTTACGAATGTCGTTCATTGAATTATACTAACACCAACTTTTTTATTCTAAGAAATAAAGAGATATAGTTCTTATTTCATCCGTATTGTATGAATGATGTATCATGGAATATTTCGTTTATTTATAGTTGTAAAGTGATTTTTTAGAATATTTTATTTTAATAAATTTGAATTAAATTAAAAAAAATTATTGATTAATTAGTTAATTCTAAAATACAAAATTTAAAAATTATAAAACTGATTTTGCTTCTCAGCATTTATATAAATACTTTTTAAAATAAAATGTACAAATTTATTTCTAATATTAATTTTAATTTAATTGATAATGTAAATAATCATATATTTTTTTAATTATTCGATTCAGATATAAACATTCCTTACAAAAAAATATTAATCTATTTATCGAAAAACTATTAATTTATCAAATATTTATATTTAATAATTGTTTTAAAATTTATTTTGAAAATCATACATTAATTATTAAATTATGCAAAAATTCAAAAAAGTTGTTCAAAATATTCGTTGTTAATTTTGATTAATATTTTAAACATTATATAATAATTGAATTTATATCTCTGCATTATCTCAGAATGTGACAATTGTGCATAAACTGCATATTAATTCCTTCTTTTATATTGTACTTTATTGTCATTTTGATTCTTGATTGATGTGAATGAATGAATGAACGTTTGTTTAAATTTTTTTTGTTGTTCGTCATTTGCGATTTAAGTCAAAAAAATCATATCGTGTGAAATACAGAATTATAATCAGAATGAAATATAGCTATGCAAAAAAGATTAATATTGTTTATTGATTTGTTTATTGATGCTGAATGTTATAAAAATGTTATAAAAATAAAACATTTATATTTCCGAGATATTTTCGAACAGAAGTCAATCGTCTATTTGTACTTTTTGAGATCTTAACATAAAACTTAAAAAAACAAAAAGTTTCAAATTAAAGAAATACTGAAATTCCATTTAATTAATTCAAAAGATTCTGTATAAAGTATAAATGAAATAATTGTTATAACGGTTCAAAATATGGTGTAAAATATTCAAAATATTCAAAATATTTTGCAAAATCATTAATCAAATTAATTTTTTGAATAATTTTTATTTTATTGAATAAAATAAAATGAATGAATAAAATGACAAGAAAGATAAAAATGTTATCAAATTTTTTCTTATTTATTTATCATTGATTTATTAAATGTGTCAATAAAAAAAAATCTACTTAAAAATTAAGATAAAAAAATTAAGATAAATATAATCGAAATCAAATAATTTCAGATATAATTCTTAAGAAATTAAAATTATTTTTTTATAGAAAAAATTAAAATTAAGAAAATATTAATTATTTCATCAATTAATTCATTTAAATAATTTAGTTTTCAATGTTCTTCTAATAGATTCATTATTGAGAAAAAAATGTATTAGATATTAAATATATTTTGGATTTAAAAAAAAAAATTAATTTTAGTGTATTATAATACATTATAATGTTTAAAATTTTTTTAATAATCGTTGCCAATATATTTTGCGAATAAGAATAAGATTAAAATTTCATGTATGTACAATATATCTATGAATATTTTGTTAAGATTATGACAAATAGTAAATATAAAGTATTGTGAACTTTTAAATACAA